GATGCCGACTTAACAAAAATGACACCAAAGCAGAGGATTGAACTCTTAAACAGAATGAGAAGCTTCTCGGAGGTGGAACTTCATAATATGAAGTTGGTTCCTGTTGTAAATAACAGACTCTTTGACATGTCGGCCTTCATGGCTGGACCGGGAAATGCAAAGAAGGTGGTGGAAAACGGGGCCTTACTCTCATGGAAACTGGGATGTTCTCTGAGCCAAAACAGTGTCCCCAACATCAGCAAGGTGGAGGCTCCAGCTAAGGAAGGAACCATGTCTGCCCACCTTGGCTACCCTGTTGTTGGCTGGCACATTGCAAACAAGAAACCTCACCTCCCAAAGAGGATGCGGCGGCAGATCAACGCCACTCCTACGCCTTTGACTGCCATCGGGCCACCCACCACTGCCGCGCAAGAACCGCCGACCAGGATTGTCCCCACCCCAACATCGCCTGCCATCGCGCCTCCCACGGAGACGACGGCCCCCCCCGTCCGGGAGCCCATACCGCTGCCGAGGAAGCCTACGGTCACCATCAGAACAAGGGGCCCCATCGTCCAGACACCCACTCTGGGACCGATCCAGCCAACCAGGGTAGCAGAAGGCACCGGCACGGCCTCTGTGCCAATTCGCCCCACGATGCCGGGGTATGTAGAGCCCACAGCAGTGATCACACCGCCCACAACTACCACTAAGAAACCAAGAGTCTCCACTCTGAAGCCAGCCACACCATCCACGACGGATTCCTCCACAGCGACGACGCGAAGGCCTACTCGAAGACCTAAAACGCCCCGTCCAACAAAGCCTCCCAGCACGACCAGATCCCCCATCTCCAAGCTGACAACGGCCTCCCCGCCGACCCGCATACGCACCACAGCTAGCGGGATCCCCCGGCCCTGGGAGCCAAATGAGCCACCCAAGCTGACGAACCACATCGACAGGGTTGACGCGTGGGAGGGCACCTACTTTGAGGTTAAAATACCATCAGATACCTTCTACGACAAGGAAGATACCACCACTGACAAACTGCAGCTGACCTTGAAGCTGAAGGAGCAGCAGATGATAGAGGAGAATTCGTGGGTCCAGTTCAACAGCACCAGCCAGCTCATGTACGGCATGCCGGACCACAACCACATCGGGAAGCACGAATACTTCATGTACGCGACCGACAAAGGCGGGCTTTTCGCTGTGGATGCTTTCGAAATCCACGTCCACAAACGCCCGCACGGGGACAAGTCTCCAGTGAAGTTCAAGGCCAGGCTGGAAGGGGACCACAATGCGGTGGTGAACGACATCCATAAGAAGATCATGCTGGTGAAGAAGCTGGCTCTGGCGTTTGGTGACAGGAACAGCAGCACCATCACGGTGCAGGACATCGCCAAAGGCTCCATCGTAGTGGAATGGACGAACAACACGCTGCCCCTGGAGCCCTGCCCCCGGGAGCAGATCCGGACTTTGAGCAAAAAAATTGCGGATGACTCCGGCAGGCCGAGCCCGGCTTTCTCCAATGTCTTGCAGCCCCAAAAACTGACCGTGTCGGTGGTCGGCTCCGGCAGCTGCAGGCACATGCAGTTCATCCCCGTGATGAAGGACGGAAGGGTGATCTCAGAGGCGACGCCGACGGTGGCAGCAGGCAAAGACCCCGAGAAGAGCAGTGAGGACGACGTGTACCTGCACACCGTGATC